ACGAAAAAAAAAGACAAAAAGGAAAAAAAAAAAAAAAAAAAAAACTAACCATTTTGACCAGCCAGTTAGCTCAGTTGGTTAGAGCACAGTGTTATAACACTAAGGTCAAGAGTTCGGATCCCCACACTGGCCAGCTGCCAAACACATACACACTCTCTCTCTCACACACACACAAATAAAACTAACCATTTTTTTTTTTGTGACCGGTAAGGGGATCGCAACCCTTGGCTTGGTGTCGCCCGCACTGCGCTCAGCCAGTGAGCGAACCGGCCATCCCTATATAGGATCCGAACCCGCGGCCGTGGCGCTCCCAGCGCCGCACTCACCTGAGTGAGCCACAGGGCCGGCCCCTAACCATTTTGTTAATAAATTTCTTGCATACCCTTTCAGGGAACAAAACAAAACAATTTATACACCAGAATATAAAAGTTAGATTACTCATGAAGTATTAATACTGTTCCAACTTTGCCCTTTTTATTAAATATATCTTGGAGACCTTTCCATATCAGCATATATAGTATTTATATGTTGGTATGTGATATTTAAATCATACACAAATAACACATAGTTATTTGTTTCATTATTTTTAACTTGCCAAATATTCCATTGTATGATGATGTATTTGCCATTCATTTAGCTTGTTTCTGGGTTTTGTTTTGGTTTTGGTATTGTAAGCAGTTTTGCGGTGGACACTAGTGTATACGTTTTTGTGCACTTGCACAGATATTTCCATAGAGAATCACTGGGTCAGAAAATATGTACACTTAAAATTTTGAGGCAGGAATACAGCAGTAAGCATGTCAGACAATGAACTCACATTGTAATAGCAGAGACACAACAAATCAGCAAAAACAGAAATATCAGGAAAAACCCAACAGGACAAAGAGCTAGTGACTGGAAAGGGAGAAGGAATTTGGAGTGGTCAGGAGAGGCTTCTCTTAGATGAGCTGAGACCCGAGTACCAAGAGGGAGACAGCTATGCAATTTGGAAGCGGACTGTCCAAGAAAAAGCGCACGGCAAGTGCAAAGATCCGGGAGAGGGAACGAACTTGGATTGTTGGAGAAGCAGTTAAGGAAGCCAGTGTGGCTGGAGAGTACTGAGGCGAGCAGTATATACCCTAGTGGATAGGCAGGAGCTCTAGGAACTAGGGCCTCCAAGACAATGACTAGCAAGCAGTTCCGATTTTGTTCCTACTTAACGGTGGGAGGACACGAGGATTTTAAACGGGAGAGACAGGATCCATAATGAACAATGGGAAGAGTGAAGCCACTTACCCGCAAGGTGACCGTGGGCAAGTTCCTAAATCTCGCTAAGGCTCTTTCGCTCTCTGTAAAACGGGACACTAAAGGCCACCTTAAACGGCTGCGAAGGCGCCACGCAGTCGAGGCTTCGGGGCCGCAGCCGCGAGTTTACCTGTCCTCCAGTACCGACTCCATGGGCTCCACTCCGTCCGTGTCCACGGCGCGGAGCCGGTCGGCGAAGGCGACGGCTTTCTCCAACCGTGCCACTGCCTCGCGGCTGCCGAAGTCCACAAGCGCTAGACGCTCCAAGTGCTCGATCACCTCGACCGTGATCCGGCCGCTTCCCTGAGGGATGAGGCGGAAAGTGCGGGTCACGAGCTGGGCTGTCCGCCTCCTGGCCTGCTCAGCCACCCTCCCGACCTTTACCTGAGGATCCGTCGTGGAGGTTAAGCCCCGGCGCCCGCCAAGCGGGGCCCGAAGACCTAGCCACACCGCCCGCGCCCACATAGCTGGGCTGTCCGCCTCCTGGCCTGCTCAGCCACCCGCCCGACCTTTACCTGAGGATCCGTCGTGGAAGTTAAGCCCCGGCGCCCGCCAAGCGGGGCCCGAAGACCTAGCCACACCGCCCGCGCCCACATTTCTACCCTTCTCAGCCACCGTAGTGCGTCCACACGTAGCGCCGAACGACGCGCCCAGGCGTGACGACATCAGAGTGCGCCGTCGCTGCCGCCAGCATCACCATGAACAGTGTAGGGGAGGCATGCACAGACATGAAGCGAGAGTACGACCAGTGCTTCAATCGCTGGTTTGCCGAGAAGTTCCTCAAGGGGGACGGCTCCGGGGACCCGTGCACCGACCTCTTCAAGCGCTACCAGCAGTGTGTTCAGGTGAGCCGCGACCTCAGCCCTCCCACCTCTACTCCCAGACCCCGCGTTCTCTGCGGTGAACCCCGCCACAGGCATCGCATCTTGCGGGGATTGGGATGGGGAGGGTGGAGAAAAGCCGCAATGAGGCCAGTGGCAGGAATCCTCTCCCCTACCATCACCACCGCGGCCGCCTGGGTGTCTCTCCGAATAACGAAGTTAAATATTTTTGCAGTGCTTTACTTTTTACGTAGCACAGTAACATCCTTTGGTTTATTTGGTGCTCATCCTAAACTTGCAAAGTGGGCATAATTATTCGTATTTTATACATGGAAAAGTAAAACCCAGAAATAGGAAGTGATTTGTCCAAGTTCACTAGAATCATATTTCCTTGATTTTTTTGAGGGTGGTGCACTTTTCCACTATTACTGTTAGGGGGTGGGCGGGATGTTAGCCTTTCTCTTACCTGTTAGACACTGTGGAGGTTCCCATTGTTTTTGTTATAATCCCTTCATTGGCCTGTTTCTCTCTCTCGACTTGTCCCCAACTACAGCTAGGAAACTTTCATTCCAGCCCAATGGATGTGGAACTGCTTTGAATTATAAGAACAGCACTTGCAGTAAATTAACCTAAAACAAAGTACTTACAATAAGTTAACCTAAGACATCTTCATGGTAATTCCACAAGGTAGTTGCTATCTTTATCCCATTTACAGATGAGGAAAGTGAGGCTGGCTCAAGGTCACATATCCGGTAGGTCCTGGAACTCAAGATTTGAACGGTCACTAAGATAAAGTGGTGATACTTTTTTTTCAAATTTCACTTCTGAATTGTAATGGTTCCCTCAAAACTTTTTTCCCTATCTTTGTCTGGTCTTACACTTGATTTCTTCATAATGGTACTTCTTTGTTTAAAAGTATGTGATTTTTGGGAAGCGCGGCGGCGCTCCTGCCGAGGATTCGGATCCCACATACAGACCGGCCGCTCATTGGCTGAGCGAGGTGCGGGAGCAACACCGAGGGTTGCGATCCCGTAGCCGGTTCCGGTCCGGTACGGGCGTGACACTGAGGGTTGCGATCCGTTGCCGGTCACGAAAAAAGAAAAAAAAATAATAATAAAAATAAAATAAAAGTGTGTGATTTTTGAATCATGGTTGTGAGTTTTATAGTTGTTTGATTTTACTTTTGTACCATATTTTATTTATAAAATTTGGTCCTTGAGCTTCATATAGACCTTTATAGTGTGTTTTCTCTTCCCATCAGAAAGCAATAAAGGAGAAAGAGATTCCTATTGAAGGACTGGAGTTCATGGGCCATGGCAAAGAAAAACCTGAAAACTCTTCTTGACCTTGACAGCCACCTTGAAAATCAGGAAATTGAGGACTCTGGATTTTGTCGACTAAGGCTGTGAAGATAACTATTGGATTTGATGAGGCGTTTAGGAGAGAGGAGTTTATTTCCTCCTTCTTGATTTGTAAAAGATGATGAACCATTATTCTTTGCTTTAAGATGATTTCTCACTTGCTCTGGTATCTTGCAGGAACTCAGTGTGCTAAAATTGAACAGTTTCTTGGGATTATGGTTGCAATACTTGGTCTGGAATCAGCTTTAAATATATATTTGAGTACTTCAGAAAGTTCATGGAAAAATGGAATGGAAATGTAACAGAATCTTTCCGTGAACTTTCTGAAGACCCCTCATGTGTAAATAATAATAATGATGACGATAAACTAGTCAGGATGATCAGGATGGCCTGACCTCATGATTTTTGCTGCAAAGAACATTATGTACACCGTACTGGGGTCACTGTTCATGAAAGCAATTGGTTAGGACCTTTTTTTCTCTCAGGGAGCTAATACCCTGAAAAGGGATCCAGGCACAACAGTTTCAATCAATGCTTGGGAGCACAGTTTTATTTTTATATAGTAAATAACAGTTAAGATTTCTGGTGGCCTGGGTTGGCCAAGAGGAAGACAGCTTTTAACAGACAGTTCCCTGCCTTAACAAGAGTTGTCAGATTAAGAGGTGAAAGCTTCAAGAATTTTGCACTGAACACCATTTCAGAGCTCACAGTGTAGAATTCAGGAATTAAAATATTTGAAGTAGCTATGGAGGAAGAACCTAAATTGGAAAGATTTGCTGTTGCCAGCTTTCAACCCAAGTCAATGAATTAAGTCAACCTGCATATCACAAAAATGCCAAATGCTGCATCTGGTTAAAAGGGGTGGGGAGGAGGTGAGTGTGTGTGCTTTATTTGCCTTGTTTACCCACCCTGCCCTGTAATGTCTGTAATCATGAAGATGGAATAAATTGTAACAGTTTCTATCATTATTTGCGGCTGGAATTCCGTGCACTTTATGAAACAACTATGACCCTGATACCCCACATATCTCATATATATACTGGGAAGTTTTGTGTTTTATAATTTAAAGGTGAAGAAAAAGTGAAGATTTGTCTAAGCTAAGTGGTATAGTGATTAGAAACCTCAATGATTTGTAAAATGTCTTTCCACAGTAGTATACACAAATTTTTTTTTTGGCAGCTGGCTGGTAACAGGGATCTGAATTCTTGACTTTGGTGTTACAACACCACGCTCTAACCAACTGAGCTAACCAGCTAGCCCTTACACAAATTATCTTGAAGTAAAATTATATTATAGTACCAAAAAATGTCAAGATCAGGTGAGCCTTTACATACTTTATAATGTCATGTAATCCCCACAAGTACATATCTTGAGTAATTTGGTGGTTTATTGTATGCCCAAAGATAGTATGAAACTTGATTTACAAAAGGCCTAAGTACTGTTATCTTTTCTTTACCAATTACTATTTCTTATTTATTGTGATCGGTCTTTATTGTCATTTCCAAACATTCTACATTTATATTTTCTGACTGGTTAAGGTTCATTATCCAAGGATTATAAAAGATATTTTGTTTTGGCAGCTGGCCAGTAAGGAGATCCCAACCCTTGACCTTAGTGTTATCAATACTGTGCTCCAACCAAATGAGCCAACTGTCCAGCCATAAAAGAACCCAGCCGAGGAAGGCCAGGCAGCAGGCTGAAGTATATATCTACCCTAAACTCAGGCTGACCACAAGCAAAACAGCTCTATAGGGATTCAGAAGTGCAGGCTGTTAGATTACAAAATGGCAATATTAACAGGGCTTCTTTATTCTTTACTGTATGAGGCTTTCACACCATTTGCATGTACCTTAACTTTGCATTACCAGTTTAATGTAACATTAAACTATGAAATACCTTGTAGACTCTTAAACCTTACCACAAAACTGTCCTGTTAAGTCTTGAGAATAAACTAGCTCCAGGCCAACCAGGTTCTTTTACTGTAACTTGTATTGAGAAATCTGCTTGTTGTGAAAGCTGCTTATGCTAGCTCAGAAATTCATTTCTGAACCTGACTTTTGGGAAAAACTGCAGGAAATATCTTGAGCAAACCAGTTCAGTTTCAACTGAGGGGGTGAGAAGGATGTTCTAATTTATGAATTGCCAGAAAGATTTAAGAATCCCCTGAAGTCTAACTCCGAAGCTCAAGCATCAGGTATCTAACCCTATTCATATTACTGTTAAATCTAAACAGACCAGATAGTAGTAGTTCCTTTCTTTATGGCCACATCCTGCCAAAAGGAGTAACATCTAAAATTGCTACAGAGAGAATAATTCTGATTGTTTCTCACCCTATTTTGACTTCATCTTCTCCATAAAGTGACTCAACCACCTCAGCTACTTCAAAGGTTTTAAATTTTGATGAGGAATTAATTGCCCTTTCAGGGTGATTTTGTAACTACTACTGTTTTCTCCCTCCTAATTCTTGTGGTTACAGGATCATTTAAATTCCAAAAACAAATAAAGCCAATAGTATATGCAGTAATGTGTCGTTTTGCCTTTATTTCTCCAAAGGTTTCTGACCATGCCAGCTTTCAGGGTGCTGAGAGATGTCTTTACTCCAGGGTAAGAACTTGACACCTTTGGAGAAAATTATCTGATTACAGGGAAGATTCTGCAGCAAATGCTGGTAGAATGGGACCTGAGAAAGCTGAGACTCAGAGGAATTACTTCCTCTTGTGAATCAGGTACCTTTTTTGGGTGTAACTAGAGCCATTCTGCTGGCTATTCAATGTCTTTGCCATCCAAGGTCAGTCAAGGACCCAATTTTGATACTTAATTAGCTCCACTGCTCTGTACTTATAGTCCCTTGGCTTTACCCTGCTGCAGGCACAAGAAACCAAGCGACCTATTATAGACAATTGTTCAGTGGGCTGAAGTGGACCCCAAACACTATAAAAAGCAGCCACAGACTTTCATTGCAGAAACAGAAAAAACATTAATGCTAACTTCTGAGGAAAAACACAAAAGAAGAATGTAACTCTCAGCTCATGATCAATCGAAGTTTAAGTTATTTATTTAAGCCATCTTCTGCAAAAGCAAAGGGATGGAAGATCAGTATATTGGTCATCATTTGATACAAGTAAAGAAGGTGAGCTTAAGGGCCAGTACACTATTCTGGTCCATGTACAGAGGAATGATCCAAACCAGTGCCATGGTCCCCGGTGCCTGCATAGTGGTCCAGGTTCTCTTTATTCGTCTTCATAGCCAGTTGGAAGTGGGTTCACACGAGGGTTATGGAATAGAGTATGGTTGCCATCTCCCCAGGGAAAGGGCTGTGGAGTGAAGATGTCAATTAGACTATTCCAGAAAATAGTTCAGAAAGAGCACTGCCATGAACTGCTTAAAATAGGATTACAGATAATACATAAAAACAAAATGGAAATTAGTCCTTTATTGGCATTTCAACCCTCTCATAACTTAAGGGAGCTCTTATAACTACCAGGTGGGACCTTCTTAAAGTAGATACTAAGAAAAGCAGACTTAAGTTAGTTACACATAAACCTCTCCCTGGTAACTAGTATAACCAGTGCCGTGTTTATGAAAGTGTAATTACCTGTATCAGAATGGAGGCGATGGGTAAGGGGAGGAAATGTTTATTTATTTATTTATTATTATTATTTTAAAAGATGACCAGTAAGGGGATCTCAACCCTTGGCTTGGTGTTGTCAGCACCACGCTCAGCCCATGAGCGAACTGTCCATCCCTATATAGGATCTGAACCCGTGGCCTTGGTGTTATCAGCACGGCACTTTCCCGAGTGAGCCACGGGCCGGCCCGGAAATGTTTATTTAAATGCAGATTTCTGGGCTCCAGTTCAGACCTGAAACAATCTGACTGGGAAAATGCAACCCATCCTCAATTACTTTGCCCACTACCTTTGAAAAGCACTGCTCTAGGGCAGTGGTTTCCAATCCAGGGCGATTTTGCCTCTCCAGGGTACACTGGGCAATACTGGGAGACGAGGGGGTGGGGGTGGGTTACTACTGCCATCTAGTGGGCATAGGATGTTGCTAAACATCTTAGAACACACAGGATAGCGCCCCGCCTCCGCCCCCTCCCCCTGCCCAAACGAGAATTATCCAGCCCAAATGTCAATAATGCTGAGCTTGAGAAACTTGCTGTTTGGCTTCTAACTCTACAGTACGAGGGTGGGAGTGGGTCTCAAAGACTCAAAAATTCAAGAGTCTAGGTGGTTTCTATGAGGCCAGTCCTACCTGCGCTAGGTGATGTAATCATTAAGAAACAGAGAGGGCCGGCCCGTGGCTCACTTGGGAGAGTGTGGTGCTGATAACACCAAGGCCACGGG